CACAAATAGAGAAGGAAAGAAAACAAGAGATACTGTCATAAGCAGATATGCTGGTTTTCTGTGATTAAAAATCACAAATTCTCTGATTAAAAATTGTAAATTCTTTGATTAAAATTAAAGGCTCCCCACAGCCCTCCCCCACCCCGGTACTGCTGGTGCCCCTCACTCTCTCCCACAGCCTCCTCAGCCCTCATGATGCCCCTCACTCCCCTACAGCCACACCCATGTCCCTCAGGTGTTACCATTCCATCACTTTCCCTTGTTGGGGCTCTGGCCTTCTCAGCCCCTGCCCCTCTGCTCTTACTGGCCCCTTTGCCTCAGCACACTGTGCCAGACCTTAGCTACTTGGGTGCCAGCCCTTGTCTCAATCTTCTCAGCTTTGGGCCTCTGGCCCTCATCTTGCTCGTCTAGGGCTCTGGTCTTGTCCCTCAAAGGCTGTGGGCCCCTGGCCCCGTCTCCACCTTTCTTGGGTACTAGGCTACCTGGCCCTGGTTTTTTAAAGAGACAGAGCACACCCTGAACTGCTTGTATTATGTTATAGCCAAGGGGCTATATTTTGGCATATTTATAAACTGGTGGACTGGGCCAAGGCTATTGGGGAAGGTGGAGACCCCATTGGGGCACACTACAGTGTGCAGACTCCAGTGCCAGAGGGTGCAGTGACAAAGGGATGAGCAGACCCTAGCACCAGTGGGCACAGTGCCAGGGGGTGCAGTGGCAAACAAGGTGAGCAAGCCCCACTGCCAGTGCAGGAACAGAGACAGGGCTGTGGAGAGCCTGGTGATGACAGGAGTTTGAACTAGACTAAGGCGTCAGAGGGATAATGTTTAAATATCATCTGTGAGGCTTGGGGTGTGGTAAAGGGGTGGTTTTGGAGCCACACATCTAGCCCATAAAGCTGAGGGTGTCCTGTGAGGCATCCATTTTGAGCGGAACCCAAAAGGGGTCCAAGAACCCACAGGGTTCAGTAGGGTCCATCAGGATCATGTCCAAACACAAACTCAAGGGCAGCCTCCCTATTTATTATAATTACTAGCAAGACATGGCAGGCAAGGAAAAGGGTGCTTGTTGGGCAAGACTGACATGGACACGGAGCCCTAGCGGCATCACAGCCATCCCTGGGGACCCCATCCCACAACACGGAGGCTGCTCTGAAGCACTGGAATTCCAGTGCATTTGAACAGACTTGACTGAGATCCAGCAGACTCCTGTGTCTGATGTATCAGCACAGCTGCGCAAAAAAACAGTGACGGGGGTACCTGGACTACAGCTCATCGAACTTCATATAGATTCATAGATGTTCGGGTCGGAAGGTACCTCAGTAGGTCATCGAGTCTGACCCTCTGCCCTGGGCAGGAAAGAGCGCTGGGGTCAGACGACCCCAGCTAGGTGCTTGTCCAGTCTCCTCTTGAAGACCCCCAAGATAGGAGAGTGCATCACCTCCCTGGGAAGCTCATTCCAGATTCTACCTTGTTCTCCTTTGACAAAGTAACTACTTGGGTGGATGAAGGTAATGCTGTTGATATGGTATATCTGAACTTCAGCAAGGCTTTTGATAAGGTCCCACAGAACCTTCTCATAAAGAAATTGGAGAAATGTGGGCTAGATAAAATTACTACAAGGTGGATAACTGGCTCAACAGCTGCAGGCAAAGGGTAATTATCAATGGGTCCATGTCAGAATAGCAGGAGGTTCTGAGTTGGGGGTGCACTGAGAAAGAATTTTTTTGGCTGATTATTAACCATATTGGCCGACACTGATCCATTTGTCAATATGCAGCCCATGCTTGTCCAGAGAGAGCTCCCAGCATTGCGCACACCCCTGGGGGAGGCACGGGGGGCATGTGTCCCCTGGATTTGTGCACAGGGTTAGAACAGGCTGCCCACTGTGGGCTGGGGCCAAGGGCTGTGCCGGCCTCTTCCTAGTGGGGAGGGCCTTGCTGGGGCTATGCTGGTGGCAGTGGAGGCACTGGGAGGGGGGTCTATAAAGGGATATGGTGAGTTTTGGGGTGGCTGTAGCCCACTCCGTAACTCCCCCCCACCCCCAGTGCTGCTGCCACCTGCCCCAACCACAGCCCCAGCCCAGCCCTCCTGCCGGGAAGAGGTCAGCACAGCCCCCAGCCCCAGCCTGCCCTTGCCCCGCACACAAATCCAGGGGGAACATGCTCCCCATGCCTCCCCCAGAGGTGTGCGCAGTGGCAGGAGCTTCCGGACCTTGATCTGAACCCCCATTCCCCTTCCCTTCCCCAGCCAAACACTGCTCTTCAAGCTGCTGAGCTTCACTCCTGGCCGCGTGCATGCTGCAGCTGTATCCATGGATATGGCATTTAATCAGTGACATTATTGGCTACATCAGCCAAAAAAAGCTGATTGCTGATAATGTCAATTTTCATCTTATCAATGCCAATACAATAAGAACTGATATATCAGTGCACCTCAGGATTTGAGAGGAGTCCCAAAAGTGATCTATCCTAGGCCTGGTGCTGTTCCATGTGTTTATTAAAGATTTTGATGCTGACATAGAAAGCTTCTTGAGTAAGCTTTTGCAGACATGAAACTGGGAAGGACTGCAGACATGTTGGAGGTTATGAGCACAATTCAGGAGGATCTTAGAAAGCTAGGCTAGAGCTAAGAGAATGAAGTTCAATACAGACAAATGCAAGGTGTTACTCAATATGAGCCTGCAGTGTGATGCATCTGTATACAAGACAAATGCAGTTTTGAGATGCAGAAGCATTAGGTGCAAGACATGAAAAGTGACAGTGCCTCTCTACTTGGCACCTGCCTAGGCCTCATCTGGAGTACTGTATGCAGTTCTGGGTTCCACATTTTAAATAGGACATGGATAAATTAGAGGGTCCAGAGATGGACAACAAAAACAATAAAGTGATTGGAAAGCAAGTCATATGAGGGGATGCGGAAAGAACTAGGCATTCTCAGCTTGTAGAAAAGGTGGTTAAAAGGGGACATGATAGGCTTCAAATACTTGAAGGGCTTCCATAAAGAAGAGGGAAAGTGCCTTTTCTCGCTTGCTGCACAGAGGAGGACAGAGACAAATGGCTTGAAGTTGCAGCAAAGTAAATTTAGATTGGATATCCAGAAAAAAAACTTCTTCACTGTTAGAATAGCAAGGCATTAGAAGAGAAGGGAATTGTTGGACTCACCGTCACAGTGTTCAAGAAGAAGTTGGAGAGCCACTGGTTGGGGATGATCTAGACACAGTTTTATGTGTGTTCTACTGTGGGTATTTCCCATGCTACTGGGCTTTGCTAGTTGCCTCCAACCCACCCTTTCTCCAACATGTTTCAGGGTGTTTTAAGGCTTCCTCAGAGGCACTGGTTATTGGCTACAGCCAAGGCTGGGGACTTTGACTGGGATGTGCTAATGCTCCTGCTGGAACCAAAGCCAGATGCTCCTGGCTAGACAGTCCTCTTGGGGTCAGGCTGATTGCCATATTTGGGGTCAGGAAGGAATTTTACCCCAGGGTCAGACTGGAATGGATTGTGGGATTTTTTTACTTGCTCTATAGCAGGGGACATGGCCCTCTCCCCAGGATCTCTTGGGCATATATTGACAACATTTTATAGAAGCAGGATGTTAGCTATTGTGGTTCCCCTGCTTTACCTGTGGCAGGCTAGGGTGTTAGGTCTGTGTTGTACTGGAGGTGATATTAGTCTTTTGTAGAGCTTAGATTATGTATTGTATAGGATGCTTTAGATAGGGCTGATCCTGTCTCAGGCAGGGGGTTGGACTAGATGACCTCTGGAGGTCCCTTCCAGCCCTATTTCTCTATGATCTATGATATGGAGACAGGTTATTTCAGGAAAAAGAGGCAGATAATTTTTTCTTACAAGTGAGGCAAACTCTTTAGGTCATCCCCCACTCCCACCCCTTAATTCTTGTAATATAAACAAGCTTCAACTTCCCTTGTGGCAGGCATTTCTAATATGCAACCCAAGCAAATATAATTAATTTCTGAATAACCAGCCCTGCCTAGGTAAAACTAGTTCTGTAATTTATAAGGTTTATGCTACTTGATCACCTTGAGATTCACCTGCCCAGGCACACTTCTTCATTGAGGGAATGCCAGCAACAATCCACAAGCTAAAATTGATGCGCTTAAAGTTTTCAAAAAAACATTAAGCACAACATTTTTGATGACTAATCAAAAAGTTTCAAAAGATACTAGTTCCCCATGGGTTTTTCAGTCTGCACATGAGAAGGAGTTTAACAAAAAAACAAACAAACCCAAAAACAAAAACAGAAAACATCAAACAAAGAAACAAACAAAAAACCTCACACTACTTACAACAACCTAAGCGACTTCAACCCATCAAATGTCCGTGCAGGGATACACCGCAGACGGTTGTAACTAAGAATTCTGAAAGCATAGAATATACTGTAAGCAAGTAACACAAAAACTACACACAATGTAGAGCATCTTTTGAAATTACACCCAGTTAGAGAACAGTTAATTTACAGCCTACAAACCAAGCAAGTTTTAATGTCAACTGGTTGCTTTTTCTTTTCAAGACAATGAACACAGTAATCTTTTCAAACATTCATTGTTATATATTTAAACTTACAAGGTGAGCAGCTGAGTCATGTTGCTGAAGCTCTGATTAGAAAGAGTGCTGATTCTGTTGTTACTTAAATCTCTACAAAAAATAAATTCACAAGTTCAGTCCTTGTGATTGCACAAATCCTGAAACACCATACTTTAGATCTGAAATTACCTTTTTTATTAGTAGAGGTAGTATTGTTATAGATATCAATGTTTAAAACATGTTTTATTGTCACATGCCACATACAAGCCAAGCGTTTTACTCTGCAAAATGGAAAGCACTCTCATTTCAACAAAGGAAAAAAAGCAAAGCAATGCAGTCTTCTAATTCATATACAAGTGTCCATCATGCTACTCAAGTAGGATCCTACATATAGTTCAGCAGTGAACCTAATATTAGTCTTGTGAATGAAGATCTGAGATGTTTTGAAATGTGGATCCTTCTAGCCATCTCTCTAATTACATCTGTGTAAGTATTACTTGACATCTAATGTGTATTCTGCTCTAAAACGTAGAGGAAACCACAAAAAAGTTAACAATCTTCCCCCCTATCACTATGTTCAACAAGGTGTTATGTCCCCCAACTTGTGGCTGTGTCTGTTGTATTTGTAAAGTGAAAAATCTTCAGTTTGTATGTGGGAGGAACAATTTAAGTTCTTCTGGTTGCTAAACAGCTAATGATTAAGGTCCTTTTGGCTTTAAATGTAAGGCTTAGGTTTGAAGAGGATGGTGCTTGGTATAAAGAAAGTTTGGAAAAAAATATGCTGAAGGGAAACTTGAATTAGTTCTACTTTCTGAAAATACTGTTTTTCTTAAGTTTTAACATGTTAATTGTGCCATAAATGTACTGTCTGCCAGGGCCCTTGGCCTTGTGCACCTTAACTGTATATCAAATTGGCAGAAATAACTCATGCCTCCCTCAAAGGCATTGGTGAAATGATAATGTGATAAAGATTGTATGATAATTTTTATCTAGGTTAAAAATAAATTTGACACAGGTCTATGAACTAAGATTACCTAAATAATTTGGTTCTTTTATAATGCATGTGAGGAAAAAAAAGGAACTTAGAGATACTCTTTAACAGCAAAGGAATTTGTTAAAAACATAATAATACTCTGTGTGCCACCTTTGGAATCATCTACTAGAATCCTGTATGACTAATGTATTAAAACTTTATTTACTGAACTTTTTATGTTTGTGCTTTGTATTTGTAATCAGTCAAAATTATTTATTAAAATACAGACCTTTATGACTAACGCCATTATTCTGATACTGAAATCTGTATTTATTTTATAAACATTCATCACTATTTATGCTTTGGCTGGAAGCCTTCATAATGAAGAGTGGGGCATCACTACTGCAAGTGATCACAACTTCATAAGTTCATGACACAAGAGAAGTTTTATGGCATGAAAAACTATGGCCCTTGCAGGGCTATATGCTGCAAGTAGGTCTCCTATCTCATTCATGGAACAAATTCACAAATTCTGTAGGTCTCCAGTGCATATATTTGAGAATGCGATAATTTATTTTGACAGGGTTTGGAAAGTCTGTGGGGGGAAAAAAGGTCTCTTTTTCTACATTTGAAAAAGTGAAACGCACTGCAATGTAGATGGAAAACCATTTCAATTGTCTTGATAGACAGCTCTAAATCCTCCCCAAGTTTTAATGTCTGACTGTATTTAAGCCTAAACTTGCTTTAAAAATATGGGGTAGATGCCAAGTTGGTGTAAACTGTTACAGCTCTACTTAAGTCAATAGGTCTATAATATTTTACACTAGCTGAAAACCTGTCTCTCTCTTGCAAAACCCTTCTGAGGCACCTAAATAGTATCTGCTCTGTTTTCTGAATTAGCTGATGCCTAGAGAGGTTAGTGACTTGGTCAAAATCACTCAGTGAGTCAGCAGCAGAGCTGGAAATAACCATGAAAAGTTTTAACTAAGCTTTCTTCTCCAAGCATTAAACCATTGATCATGTGGGGCTATATTAAATGGATGTACTGTTCTTGTTTCATACAAACAGTAGAATATTTTCTCTATAATTGAAATCATTTCAGTGCCTCGGTGGAAGGTAACCGCATATCTGTATAGTAAGCTATTAGTTACTCTAATGCACATTTCGTGAGGTTCTGAATTCCCTTTTGGGTTTACTGTAGTACCTGCCTATTTACTTTGCAATGAAGTGTGCTGTGATCAGCAGCATAAAAATATCCCCATTTATAAAACATGCCTTGGAGTTATACTTGCTAAAAGGTCCACTACATTTTATGTTTTTCTTGTAACTATTACATTAAATGGAAGAGTAGTTTTTTGATCAACCAGTATTGAAAGATGCTCTAAAGCTACTTACATAAGTGTCAAATGCTTGTAGTTAGACAGTTCTTTGGGAACAAGGGTAAATTGGTTTCCATCCAAATAACTACAATAGAAAAATATAATGTTAAGTATTATTCTTTAATTTAAAGTGAAGACAAAAATGTTACAGTAAAACAATATATAAGGACAAGTAATTTACAGGCACAGTTATTTACAACTTTCCTCCTTTAGCATCAGGATAACAGGATGGCTGAAGGCCAGCTGCCTAAGAGTCTGATATATACATCCAAAACAATAATAATAAGAAAATCCACTTAGCCCTTTATAGTGCAATTTAAAAAAAAAAACCCGATCGGTATTGTTATTACCCTTTTACAGACAGGGCAAATAAAACCAAACTCTAACTCCGTAAGTAATTTACTGTGAATCGATAGAGTCTGAATTAAATTAAGTAAGAATAGGAATTGACAGCAAAAAGCTACATCAGTGGTTTTCAACCTGTGGTCTATGGACCCCTGGGGGTCTACAGACTATGTCTAAGGGGTTAGCAAAAATGACTATGATCAATTAAATGCATGTGAATACCCAAGTTTAAAATTCAAAGGGGTCTGCACCTCCATTTGACATTTATTAAGGGTCCACAAATGAAAAAAGGTTGAGAACCACTGAGCTACATTATCTCCATTTTGCCCTTTGGAGTGAATATGGGTAGATGTCAATCATATACAGCCAAATAAGATAGTAATGAAGAATTTGATTGAGGTAGGTGCTTTTGGGGCCAAGTGTAGGGAAGAACTACACATGTAGCTGGGATAAATGTGTTAAGAAAAACTGGGAGCAGTCCTCTTTATGTAATTTTCTAATCTGGGGCAGACTTGGGTACAGGGATGCTTGAAGCAGCTCTGGAAAAGAGAATTTCAGAGGCATAGTTGACTTGCTTGCACACCCACTTACATCTGAAGAGTAGAAAGTGTCCAGCAACAATTGCATCTGCCCCAAACAGGACATGCACCATTTCTGCATCTGTAGATATTTCTTTCTCTCTCCTGCAGCCAGAATAATAGCTGTAGGTCAAACTTTCACTGCCTTAATTCACAGAAAAGGCTATAGCCCTCAAATGCATACAAAGATAGATTCAAAGTAGTTTTGTAGGTGGAGATCTAAATATGAAAAGATGTCTTATGAGAACTTGCACTAACTTGGACTTAATTTTCCTCTTGTTTTACTTCAAGGTAATCTCTGAGAAATATTTCCTGTTATAGATAGACAGTTCCAAAATGTACCTAATCTAAACAGATCTAAACAGATCTAAAATGTGCATAATTAAAATGTGTAATAGAAGTAATAAAGAAATCTATCTAGTTAAGGTTGGGAAGTTTTCTGAAAAGTAAGTTTTTCAGTATACCTCAAAATGTGTTTTTAAATCCAAGATATAGTTTTGAACAGCTTTACACATGTATGGCCTGAACCAAATCCTGACCCCATTCACATCAGTTGAAGGGCTGCAAGAATGAGTTTTTACTTTTATAAAGAGGTAGAACATAAACATTTATTTGAAGAAAAATATATCTGGAAGTAACTATTAGCAATTTTTAATTGTTAAATTCTGTTTATTTGCTAACAGCCATATTTAAATGTAGGCACTTAGTAGAAACACAGATAACCAAGGATCCTTGTTTTCTCTGTTAAAAAACACAAAGTTCTCTGATTTAAAAGAATGCAACATCCGTGTTTTTCTGAGATTAAAATGAAATGCCACTATATATATTTGTGTGTGTGTGTGTGTGTGTGTGTGTAGGTATCAGTTGAACACAATGTTTTAGTGATATATTTACAATCTTAAAGCAATTTGGAAACCTACCAGTGCCTCAATCATCATAATAAAATAAATTATAATACCTATATATCTTGGTGTTTGATTTTGTTCTTTTTATCATGGAAAATCAAAGCTGTCCCTGCCCCCTTTGCTTACCAGGACATGAGCCCAGCTGCAGCTGTCCCCCTCACTGCTTTGTGGCGCTGAGCAGCCCTGATATGAAAGTGCCCCTCACTCTGGACCCAAAATCTCTGCCTACCCCGATTTGCTACCCAACCGCTGCCCCAAGCTGCTATCCCACACACCCCTGCCCTGCCCTGTCCCTAATCAGCCCTGTTGGCTCTCCCTGCAGCCCCCCCACCAGTCCTGGTAGTGTCACCCACACCCCCCTGCCTTGCCCTTGCCTGCCCTGCCAGCTCTTCCTCCAGGCTGCCACCTCCCCCCCACCCAGCAGTATGACCCAGAGGTGGCAGAGGGGGAACCCAGCTGCCCCCTGGTTCCAGCCCCGAAGTATGTGGGGTAGGGGTGGACATGTGGGGCTTTCCAGAACCTGGCCCTTTCCCTGATGATGTAGGGTTGGTCTGGATTCACCAGAGCTTCGCCCCTTATGGCTTAGATTGGCTGTGCACCATCAGGACTGTACACTAAGCTCTGGCATGTATGGACCACTCTTGTCCCATCAGAAGGTCCTTGGATGGCTTCCCTGATGGTACAGGGCTCATCCAAACTCACCAGAGCTTGGCTCCTGATGGTCTTGACTGGCCTCATGCCATTAGGGCTGTGCACCAATCTCTGGCCTGCCCATATCAACACGGCGGGGCAGTTCTCCATACCACTGTTCATTGGCGATGCATGGGGGGCGGGGTTAGGAGGCATGTGCTCCCTCAGATTTCTGTGCCAGCAGCAGGGCATGGGGCTGCAGCCTAGCCAGATTGGTATAGGGCAGGAGACATCTCAGCCCAGTGGTGGAACATGATGTGGGAGAGCAGAGCAGGGTGAGCACACCTGCCACTGCTGCAACCACCACTGGGAGCCCTGCTCCAGCCACACTATAGCTGCCAAGGTGAGGTGCCCCCTGCCTGCCCAGGGATGGCAGGGGTGGTGACGCATAGTTGTGTCCCACTGCCAGTGTTGGCACTTATGCGTCGCCTATGCTGCTGACACAGTGGGAGGGCACAACCCCATGCTGCCACCACTCCTGGGAGGGCAGGGGGCACCCCACTTTGGCATCCATGATGACATAGCTGGCATGCAGTTCCTGGTGGCAGCGGCAGCACTGAGTCTCCCTGCCCTACTCTGCCCTCCCATATTGGGTCCTGCCTGTTGGGCCAGAGGTGGCTTCTGGCTAGTGCTGGTCTGGTCAGACTGCAGCCCTGTGCCCCACTGTCAGCACAGAAATATCGGGCTCATGCCCCCCCGACATATTGCCAATGAGTGTGCCCAGATGATCTCCAACTCCCACCTCCCATCCTATAGACTTATGTGCCTGTATTGCTCAGTAACATCTTTTTAAGGGGAACCAATCCCTGTTCTGATAGGCAGAAGAAAACAAAGTGGCCACTTTGTGGCCCAGAGGGGCAAGGATTTAGGTAGGGGAATGATGCTACACAACAGGGTGAGAGACTTAGCCTTAGACCCTGTAGAGAAAAGAATCCTGATCAGTGGAGGAAGAAAGAAAAACTGTGGTGGTAGTGCCCCAGCTGCTATGGGAGACAAAGTACCTAATCAGAGGCTGCACGAAACTGGAGCTCCAGGCTACGACTAAACTCTGGATTATGACTAGACTCCAGACTCTTAACTGCTGCAGAGGCTGCTGATGGGGAAGACACTGCTGCCAGAGGTTGTGCAAGCACCTCCTCTGGACTCCTTTAAGAGATATTTGGACGTTTATCTTGCTGGGATCCTTCGGCCCCAGCTGACTTCCTGCTCCTGCGACAGGGGCCTGGACTCAATGATCTTCCGAGGTCCCTTCCAGCCCTAATGTCTATGAAAGCTATGATCCAGGTGTGGGCTTGCCTCTGTAGCCAGAAGCAAACCAGGCTAAAAAGCGATCATGGAAAACACCTGTGCCAGAGTTGTGAATTAGGAATCAGTTGACCAGCAGGGGAGGAGCTGGGCCAGCATATACACTGACTCTAGGAAAGTAGTAACCGTGTCAGGGAATAAGCAACTTCCTTGCAGAGTGGGTAAGCTCAGGCCCAAGGGGAGGGGAGCTCCAGGAGCAGCAGGATGAGTGTGCCTGGATGGATTAAAGGTTTTGTGAGCTATTTTAGTTCACCCAGCAGGATATATTTTGGTTTCTCCTTATTGACCCATAACAGCTAGAGGTTTTAGTTGGGAGTGTAGGAGTTTCAGTTATGCTAGGCTGTAGTGATGCTGAGCTATAGTTAAACTAAGGCACTGCAAAGGACCTTGGGAGTAGCAGGCTTAATTGACTGCTGGATGACCTGGAAAAAGACTTGAGTGAACAAAAATAATGATTTAAAGTAAGAAACTGGTTGAATGGATTGAGTAAAAAGTTAGAACTTGCTGGTCTTTTTCAGCAATACCTCCCAGTTGAGGATGATTGTCTTCCGTGATTGTCTTATCTCTGTGTCTGAAGATGGCTGATGAGGCCTATCCAGGATCAACAGACTCTACTGAAGCTCAGATATGTGTTTCTATGTGCGGTGGGTGGTGCTGGATTCTTGATTTGGTTCATGACATGCTGTTTCTGCCACTTCTGCTTTTCCTGTTATTGTTGTGAAGTTCCAAAGTACTGAGGTCCCTGCAGCAGATGCTTCCTCCATGTGGGGCAGTCCTTGATGACAGTCTCCCATGAGTTGACACTGATGTTGCATTTTTTTAAGTTGACCTTGAGAACATCCCTGAAGAGTTTTCTCTGCCCTCCTCTGAGCTGGGAGAATAAAATTTGCTTCAAGAGCCTGGAGTCAGACATTCAGATGACATAACCAGCCCAATGAAGCTGGTGGCAGATGATTATCACCTATATACTCATGGTGTTTGCTTGCAGAAGGACACTAACATTGGTGTATCTGTCTTCCCACTGGATTCACATGATCTTCCATAGGCAGTGTGACGGTTCTTCAACAACTTTTAGAAGTTTCCTGTACATGGGCTATGTCACAGCTCTGTACAGCAAGGTGGGGATCACAACTGCTTGATAAAACATGAGGTAAGTTTTGGATCTGATGTTGGAATCTTCGAACACCCATTTCTTCAGGCATCCAAAGTCTGTATTTGCACATTTGAAACTATGTTGGATTTTTTCATTGATATCAGCCTTC